GGGGGTGCTCTGGCAGCCGGTGGATGATGAGGAGATGGCGTCGGCCACCCGGACCTGTCCCCTCTGAGCACCTTCTGTCCCCAGCACCTCCAGCTGGAGTAAAAGCAGAGTGAGAAGCTTCACAAGGCTGTATTTAGCCAAAAATAGTGAGAATCAGTAACGGGAAGGTGGGGGAGGAGAAGCCATTTGCTGAGGATGCTTGGGCGGCCTCCCAAGGAAGGGTCTGCGCCTCAGGGTGAGGGGATGGGCCAGGCCCACCAAAGCTGCTGAGATGTTGGGTGGCTTTGGGGACTGCTGTCCCCTCTCTTTTCCCACCCGGTGAGGGGTTTCTTGCTGTTCCCTGGCCGGTAACGTTGGGTGCAGGGATGGATTTGGCTTGTTCCACCTGTTGCTCCATGCTGCTGCTTGGGGTTTGGCAGCAAAGAGAGTGACCAGGCACACCACCACCAAGGCTTCTTGCAGTCATAGAATCATAGAATCATAGAATGGTTTGGGTTGGAAGGGACCTTAAAGATCATCTAGTTCCAACCCCCTGCCATGGGCAGGGACACCTCCCACCAGACCAGGTTGCTCCAAGCCCCATCCAGCCTGGCCTTGAACCCCTCCAGGGATGGGGCAGCCACAGCTTCTCTGGGCAACCTGTTCCAGTGCCTCACCACCCTCATAGTAAAAAATTTCTTCCTGAGATCTAATCTGAATCTTTTTTCTTCCAATTTAAAACCATTTCCCCTTGTCCTATCATTACCCTTCCTGGCAAAGAGTCCCTCCCCAGCTCTTCTATAGGCACCCTTCAGGTATTGAAAGGCTGCTATAAGGTCTCCCCAGAGCCTTCTCTTCTCCAGGCTGAACAATCCCAGCTCCCTCAGTCACCATGCCTCCCCTTCAAACGCAGTGCCTGCAGCCGCTGCGGCGCTTCGTATACATGACCATATACATACCACACTTGCCCTAGCATTTAAGTGCTAAAAAGTGCAAGTTCAGTGTTTCCAAAAGGCTGGCTTTGCCCTCAGCTCTGCTCAGCCAACCCCCCCACCTCCCCCTCCCCGACACTATAGGAGTGTGTACATACATATGTGCGTCTGCTTCCCCAGACCGGATAATTTAATCTTCTTAGATGCATTATTATATAATGGGAGCGTACGCGGGTGCTTTACATCAGGCCTCAGCAAGCTGCTGCTTTGGGCCAGATTAAAATGAATCACACGGAGCTGATCTAGACCCTGCAGAGGTGTGGAAATTCGGATGGGGGCTGGTGAAGGTGCTGAGAAGGGCTATTGGTAACCTTACCGTGGCCTTCACGGGGGGGACATGGGGTGGCAGCCCCCTCGCCCCTGCCAAGCCCCTTGACAACCAAGTTTGGAGCCGGGGAGAGGGGTTAGAAGGACACCAAGTCTCCAAAGCACTGGGGAAACCATTCCCTGTGTTTTGCTGGCCTGGCTGCTGGGACCCCCTCTCCCTGATGTGTACCCCAGCGCACACGTGCTTGTCCTTACCAGCTTTCCTAATTTCTACCCTAAAAAAAGACAAAGCCTTGACTTTAAAAAGACTTTTTTGAAGCTGAGTGGCCTAAGTCAGTGCCTGATGGTACTTGCAGGGGCTGGGAAGACCACTCTGGGAGAAGGGAGAGGCAGGAGTGCTGCTTCAGACCATATTCATCCATACGAGGAGATCTCTTCAACTTAACTTTACAGCCTGCTCCAGGTGACCTCATCTTCCACTGCGTCCAGCCAAAGCATGGAACGTGAGATGGGGCCATAGCTCAATGCCCTGAGATGTTTCAACATGGAACGTGAGATGGGGCCATAGCTCAATTCCCTGAAATGTTTCAACATGGAACGTGAGATGGGGCCATAGCTCAATTCCCTGAGATGTTTCATCAGAAACAAGCGTGCCTGACACCCTCAGACATACACGTACTTGCTATGGATGTCCTGGTCTTGTCCATACGAAATAAAAGCCAATGGAAAATCCACATGCTCCCAGAAGTTCCTCTTGCACCAGGGACACTGAGCTGTCTCTCTAAATGCCCTCCTACACTTGGCAGGGCTTGAGGCCCAAAGTCTTCCCTTCTTTGGAAAGCACATTCCTTCAAACATCTTGACACTCTCGAGCCCCAAAAACAGACCTCAGGACAGGACTGGGGTTCATCCTCTCCTCCCTCTGTCCTCCAGGGCTCCCGCAGCAACCGCTGAGAAAAAACAGCTCAGATCAACTCTTCATCCATGTCCTCTGGGTGCCCATTTTGCCATCCCAGCTGGCATGGGCAGATAGTTTTGTGGTTCCACCTAGATAACGGCTTTTTTAGGGGGGGAAAAATCCACAACCCTAATAAAAATCCTCGGCCACGTACGTGCGGAGGGCGCGGATTACTTCCCAGAGACTTGGTGAGAACATCGGCCCCGGCCCTGGCCAATTCCCACCGGGAGGCCTGGGGATCGGTGCTTTTATTGCTGGCTTTGGCTGGAAGCCACGGCAAGATTTACTCCTGTGATTAACCATAAGCGCGTTAATAGTCCTTTTTGAAAGAAAAGGCACACCTCCCGTGATTTCCATCGGCCGCGCTTGGGTGCTTTTGCTGGATCAGGCACGGCTTTAACCTCCCCCCAGAAGCGTAATGTGTCTTGGGTGAGGTGTTCATGGGGCACCACTGCACCTCTAGCCCTTCTCTTGGGGCAAGTCTTTGTGAAAGGAGATGTTTTCTAAGCCTGGGGAGGTGTTCTTCATGTGGGGGAGTTGTCCTGTGAGAGCTATGCCTCCTTCTTTGTTTGCCCTGGTCAGGCAGAGCAGGAGGAGCTGTTGTACCCTCATCTGCAGCCCCTGCCTTAATTAGAGCGAGCTTTCCCTTGTAGATAAGCCTTTATATCAATGCCTGGGCTGAAAATGAGAGAGCCCATTAACCCTTAAGCTACCGCCTTGGAAATCCGCGTGTCCAAGCAATCACTTTTTGTCACATCCCACATCCTAAAAGGCCAAATTCTCACTCCTCTCAGGGGCCAAAGCACGAGGATTGACGGCAGGAAACTGGCTCCGCAGCCGTGCAGCAGAACACGGGAGGAGAGAATAAAATGGGATCAGATCAAAGTATTTGATTGCAAAGTATTTAATTGCAAATGAGAACTCTGCTCTCCCTCTGTCCCAGTGACAGGAGCAAGATGCAAGCACTTCAAAGGGCCATTTTTTGGCCTTTTGTTTTCAGCCAGTTCTAGAAACGGGAGCCCATCCCACCCTGATGGACACTCCTTTCCCCATCCCACACGCTCACCAGACCCCTGTTTCACCATTAAACACTTGGGACCACCTGGTCACCTGGGGGTAGAAGCAGCAGCCCGTGGACTCTCAGCTGGGGTAAACTGATTTCCAGGGCACTGAGCTGATGGAAACCAGACGAGCTCTCCAGGCTTCTTTTTTTTTTTTTTTTTTAATTCAGTTACTTTTATAAATATCTAGAATATTTTGGGGTTTGGGTTTGCACCAGCCAAGGAGAAATAAAACTCCTGGGGGGTCATTTTCCCAGTTTTTTTCCCCTAACCTGCTTGCAGGGTAAGAGTTTTCATTGTGTTTGTCTTCTAGCCATGCAAATTTAACCATACTATCCATCCAGCTTTTGGGCCACGGGGGCTAACCACATGCTAGCCATGGGGCTGAGCATCCCAGACCCTCCGCAGCCACCTCTCTTTTGCCTGAGGGGGTAAGTAAGGCTGGAAGAGGCAACGTGACCAGCACAGGGTCACCCCCGGGGTCACCTCCATTCGGGAGCAGAGCTCGCCAGCTCCTGTCTCCCAGCCAGCGCCGCGAATCCTACGGGGAAAGTTTCCTTAGTGAAAAAATAAACTCTTCCCACTCAGAATTTAAAAACAAAACCCATGGAAACATTTCTCTCCGTCCTGATGTTTTGCAAAAAAAAAAAGTTATTTTAACAAATTTAAATTTGGGGCTCGATTTGACCGGCCGGTGCCCTTTCAAATAGTTGAACCCAGGCCATCGCCGCAACCATGTCGGAGCCAGACCTCAAGCTCCGGCTCTTCTGACACCCCCACCAGCACCCGGGACATTAAAGCCCCCCTCCTCAGCCCAGAGGGCAGTGGTGGTCAGCCTCTCCCCAATTCCTGCCACCTGCATGGAGGGGAGCTGCCATAAAACATGTAGGAGCTTGCTTTGCTTTGCTTCCCCATGTTTCATGGCCCCTTATAAATACAGATTTCGGGGGGATGCTATGGACAGGGCTACAAATGATTCAAGGACTGGAGCATCTCCCTTATGAGGAGAGGCTGAAAGAGCTGGGACTCTTTAGTCTGGAAAAGAGAAGGCTGAGGGGAGACCTTATTAATGCTTATAAGTATCTCAAGGGCGGGCTGAGGGAGGAGGGAACCAGACTCTTTTCAGTAGTTGCCAGTGACAGGACAAGGGGCAACGGGCACAAGTTGGAACATAAAGGGTTCCACTTGAATATGAGGAAGAACTTTTTCACGGTGAGGGTGACAGAGCCCTGGCACAGGCTGCCCAGGGAGGTTGTGGAGTCCCCTTCTTTGGAGATTTTCAAGACCCGCCTGGATGCAGTCCTGAGTAACATGCTCTGACAAGCTCTGGGTGGTCCTGCTTTGGCAGGGGAGTTGGACCTCTATGGGAGTTGGATCTCTATGGTCCCTTCCAACTCTAAAAATTCAGTGAAATTC